TGGCGATAGACATGGATCTATCTGCAGTCTTTCACATGCCAATATCTTGTTATGCCAGTACCATTTGTTGACAATGCTATCTTTTTTCCATTGTATAATTTTAGCATCTTTGTCGAAAACCAGGTGTTCATAGGTTTGTGGATTAATCTCAGGGTTTTCAATTCGATTCCATTGGTTTACTTGTCTATGTTTGTGCTAATACCAAGCTGTTTTCAGGACTATAGCTCTATAATAGAGCTGAAGTCAAGGATGGTGATGCCTCTAGACTTGATTTGTTGAGCAGGGTTGTCTCAGCTATCCTGGGTTTTTTTGTTTTTCCATATAATGTTGAGAATTGTTCTTTCAAGGTCTGTAAAGAATTGTAGTGGGATTTTGATGGGGATTGCATTGAGTCTGTAGATTGCTTTTGGCAGGATTGCCATTTTTACTACATTGATCCTACCTATCCAAGAGCATGGGAGGTCTTTCCATTTTCTGAGGGCTTCTTTAATTTCTTTCTTTAATGACTCAATGTTCTTTTAATACATGTCTTTCACCTGTTTGGTACGCATTACCCCCAAGTGTTTTATGTTGTTTGTGGCAATTGTAAAGGGTGATGTTTCTCTGATTTCTTTCACAGCCCTCTTATTGTATGTATATAGTAGGGCTACTGCTTTTCTTGAGTTGATCTTGTATCTTGCCACTTTGCTGAATATATTTATCAGCTGTAAGAGTTCCCTGGTAGATTTTTTTGGGTCATTTATGTAAACTATCATATCATATGCAAATAGTGAAAGTTTGACCTCTTCCTTTCCAATTTATATCCCCTTGATCTCCTTTTGTTGTCTTATTGTTCTAGCTAGAAATTCGAGTACAATATTGAAGAGGTATGGGAAGAGGGGACAGCCTTGCCTTTTTCCTAATTTTAGAGGAATTGCCTTGAGTTTCTCTCCATTCAGTTTGATGTTGGCTGTTGGTTTGCTGTATATAGCTTTTATGATGTTTAGGTATGGTCCTGTTATGCCAGATCTCTCCAAGACCTTTATCATAAAGGGGTGTTGGATTTTATCAAAGGATTTTTCAGCATCTAGTGAAATGATAATATGACTTTTGTTTCTCAGTTTGTTGATATCTTGACCCAGGAGTGGTACAGTTGTGTATTATTCAAATCCATGAGTTTGCAGGGTTCCTGCGATTTGTGTTATTGTTGAATTCTAACTTTAAGGCATGGTAGTCTGATAAGATACATGGAGTTATTCCAATTTTTTGTACCTGTTGAGGTTTGCTATGTTACCAAGTGATTTTTGAGAAGGTTCCTTGTGGAGCTGAGAAGAAGGTATATTCTTTTGTGTGTGGATGGAGTGTTCTATAGATGCCTGTTAAACCCAATTGGTTCACAACTTCTATTAGATCCTTCGTATCCTTGTTAAGTTTCTGTTTCATGGTCCTGACTAATGGTTAAGAGTGGGGTGTTGAAGTCTCCCACTACAAGTGTGTGAGGTTTTATATGTGCTTTGAGTTTTAGTAATGTTTCTTTTACAAACATGGTTGGCTTTGTATTTGGGGCATAGATGTTCAAAATTGAGACTTCATCTTGTTTGATTTCTCCTGTGATGAGTATGAAGTAACCTCCTTCATCTCTTTTGATTGATTTTAGTTTAAAGTCTAATTTGTTAGATATTAGGATTGCTATCCCTGCTTGTTGCTTGGGTCCATTTGATTGGAAAATCTTTTCCTAACCCTTAATTCTGAAACAACATCTGTCTTTGAAGCTGAGGTGTGTTTCTTGTATGCAGGAGAAGGATGGATTCTGTCTTCGAATCCATTCTGTTAACCTGTGTCTTTTTATGTGCGAGTTAATACCATTAATATTGAGGGAAATTAATGACCATTGACATCTCATTCTTGGTTTTTTGGAATGGTTGTTGTTTTTGGAATTGTATGTGGATTTCCACCACTTTTTCTTTTTCTTGTTGGTAAAGTGGGATTATCTATTACCTATGTTTTGCTTTTCTGGTTGTAGCTATCCTCCTGTGGTTGGAGTTTTCCTTCCAGAATTTTCTGTAGGGCTGGGTTAGTGGATATGTACTGTCTAAATCTGGTTTTATCATGAAATATCTTGTTTTCTCCATCTATATTGATTGAAAACTTTGCTGGGAATAGCAGTCTTGGCTGGCATCCATGGTCTCTTAATGTTGGTAGAATATCTATCCAGGACTTTCTGGCTTTCATAGTTTCCATGGAGAAGTCAAGTGTAATTCTGATAGGTTTGCCTTTATGTTACTTGGTCTCTTTCCCTAGCTGCTCTTAATAGTCTTTCTTTATTCTGTATGTTTGTGGTCTTGATTATTATGTGTTAAGGGGACTTTTTCTTTTTGGGTCCACTCTATTTGGTGTTCTTTAAGCTTCTTGTACCTTCATTGCCATGTCTTTTTTTAGGCTGTTAAAGTTTTCTTCTATTATTTTGTTGAATATGTTTTCTGGCTCTTTGAGGTGGATTTCTTCACCCTCTTGTATACCTATTATTCTTGAATTTGGTCTTTTCACAGTGTCCCTTATTTCCTGGATATTTTGTGTTAGGGATTTGTTGGACTTAAAGTTTTCTTTGGTCAATGTATCTAAATCTCCTAGTGTTTCTTCAACACCTGAGATTCTCTCTTCCATCTCTTGTATTCTGTTGGTTATGCTTGTGTCTGTAGTATCTGACTGTCTGCCCAGCTTTTCTATTTCCAGCATTCCTTCAAACTGTGTTTTCTATTGTTTCTATTTCAGATTTAAGCCCTTGCACTGTTTGAATTGTTTCTTGCAATTTTTGCTTTGTCTTTTGCTCCATTTCTTGCATTTTTTTGTTTTTTTTTTCTTCCATCTCTTTAAGGGATTTTCTCATATCCTCTTTGAGGGCCTCTATCATTTTCATGAAGTTGTTTTTAATGTCATTCTCTTCTAGTTCATTTGTGTTGGGGTGTTCCAGTCTTGTTGGTGTAGGGTCTCTTTATTCTGGTGGTGTCATATTGGTTTTCCTATTGCTCCTTGTGTTTTTATATTGTCTTTCCCATCAGTTCTTGCAGTGGGTTCCAGAAGGTGCCTCTTCCTCTCCTGGTTGGTGTGGGACCATGGGTCCCTTCTGGTGGGTGTAGGCAAGTCCAATGTTCTGGTAGCTTTCCCCTTCCCAGTCTTGTGGGTGGAGAAATGGACTAGGATGCTGGGATGGATGGAGGCCCCAGTGGTATACCCCAGGTACAGGAGTGTGGCCTGGAGACAGGCCCTGATAGTCTTAGTCATGTGGGTGGAGCAGGAGACTAGGATGCTGGGGTGCGTTGTCTCCTGCCTCTGGGATGGAAGCTGCAGTGGCAGAGCCCAGGCACAGGCAGCATATTATTATTCTGATTCACACATTTCCCCATGCTGTCCTTCACTCTGGAACTTACTGAAGGGTGGAACTGTATCTTCTGGCATTGCCTTCAGAAAGCCAGTGAATATGTACCAGTGTTCTATTGAAAAAAAACTTCTAAAGTGACATAAAATGACATTCAAAGCTCCTTCAGGATGTTTGACAACTATATAAAGCTCTGCTTTTATGTTTTCTAAGCAACTGCTTAATCAAATTTTACAATGGGGTAGGGGACATACTAAAGTTAGAGAGTGAAGTGAAGTCTTGGCGATTCTGTGAGTTCCCTCCTCTAAACTGAGCTAGGAATTTCACACAGCCAGAAACATGCTACCCCAAGGACAGGGTCACATTCAATTTATTCATTTACATCTTGGATCATATTCACCATTTCATAGTCAATAAATGATATGGTGAAATGTGAGAGAATTCTCAGTCTGGAATAATCTAATTCACTCCTGTGGCTTCCAAAAAGCATGTGATTCAAAGTTGTTGTTATTCAGTTGTGACTCTAACAGAAGAGACTGATGGGTAATGGACGAAGCAAGGACATCAAGGCCAGATAGAAATACTGTCACTTAGACCAGGACTGCTTGAAGCAAAGCTGAGAGTGGAGAGTTTGGGTAATAAACTACAGATGCTTAGGAGGAGCTGGGGACATAATGGACTGGATATTCTAAGTTTATCCCACTGGCCATTGAGAAGTTGCCTGCTGTAAACCTCTTTGAAACATGGTGTTTCAAAGTAGACAGTGTACATAAAAATTGTATGAATCCAATGGGTGTACAGTAGAGTTATATGGTAAAATCCATGTACATCCCTCTATGCCCAAAGCTACTCTCTAGAGACAATCACAGATTCTAGATGCTTTATTAATATGTATGACTGGGTGTATATTTATGTAGGTGCATATATACGTATATGTACATAAATATAAACATTTCATATTTGGCATATGTTTGTATGTTTATATAGTTGTATTTGAGACAGTAGTTCCATGTAATACTATATTATAATGAATCTTTTTCATTTAGCCTCTTCTCCATAATTCTTTTTAGTTTCAATTTTATTATGTTTACGCCTCCACTTCAGATACTATTGGTCAGTATGCGAAATTTGTTTCTTGTGTGAATGAATGGATGCTTTTAAAATTGTTACACTTCACCCTAAATCCTAGTAATTAATTGACAAGAATTAGAGATGCCTTGTCTCACAGCCAAGCTCTAGCATGTATTACTTTTTTCTATAAATATGTTGTCCATCCTTCAAAGTTAATCTCTAGAAGTTCCTCCCACCACAATCTGGAGTCACGCCCCCCAGACATGACTCACACTTAAATTTATGCCTTTTGAGATCCTGCAATCCAACAAAAAGGGTTCACAGGTCAACTTGCCCAGGCACCTCATGACAGGATCCACCTTCAGAGGTGAGTGGCTTGGGATGGGCTGGTGGCCACATGAGCCAAGTCACAGCCTAGCCAGCACTGGTCCCACCGCCCATCCAAGTCTGGGGCTGTCTTTCAAGGCAAGGCAGGAGAGTGCAATCTTCAGCACCAGGAACTGAGCAGGTGCCTGAAACTGTGGCTTAAAGAAGAATTTTAAGTGACTGAATGTCTTCTCTTTGTTTTCTCCAGATAGCAACTTCATCCTGGCTAATGCCCAGGTGGCAAAGGGGTTCCCCATAGTCTACTGTTCCGATGGCTTCTGTGAGCTGTCTGGGTTTGCACGAACTGAAGTCATGCAGAAGAGCTGCAGTTGCAAGTTTTTGTTTGGTGTGGAGACCAACGAGCAGCTGATGCTTCAGATAGAAAAGTCCCTGGAGGAAAAGATAGAATTCAAAGGAGAAATTATGTTCTACAAGAAGAACGGTGAGTTGCCTTGCTTTGGCACCTACTGGAGAGGGTGACTAGTCATCATGTTTCAGTTCATTAGTGGCTCTATGTGCCTTCTGGCTGAACAGTAATGCAGTGTTTGGGGGAAGCTTCACAGATGACATGGGTGATGGCGCTGTTTTTATCATTTACAGCATAAATCAAATGTAACCTTATATTAAAAGTAAAATTACTATTTCAGTATATGAGCATATACTGCTTACCATTAACATGCTAAATCAACATGTTAAAACACACTCCACTACCGTTTTATAGTCATTTAAAAAGTGTACACATGCATAACAGTCACTTAGAAATAGTTTTTATCCGGCGATGGTCTTCCAAACTTCATACTGAAAGAATTACATGTCAATCTTAGTCAACTGAAGCAAAATTCTCAGGGTTTCCTGTCAGAAAAGGAAGTTAATTTAAGGGACATCAGGATGTGTGTTCCTTTAATCCTGCTCTCTCCACTTAGGGCCTTTCTTGATACTGTCTGAAATTGTAAAAACAAAATGAGACAGAGTGGAGTCAGTTTGCTGGGGTTCAGAAGGCAAGTGTTTTCTTCTGGTGCAGTGCTGTGAGGCTCTTCTCCGGGAAAGAGGACCTAGAGCTGGGCAAGGCATCTGTGGTGCTGTATCCCATGTGAGAGCACATGCTGCTGCCTGTGGGCCCTGCGAGGACTCTGGAAGGTTACACATGGGAAGAATGCTAAGAAGAGGCCATCTTTTCATCTTACTGACAGACGCCCATTAGCTTCAGCTGAGTGTGTAGACATCAAGTCAGAGAGTATATTTCTAGCCTTCTTTGTAATCAGATAGACACACAATTGTGATTTGGGACAGGGACACATGAAAAGGACTGACTTACAGAATTTCTAGGAAAAAGTCCTGTAAGATGAAATTATCTTCCCTTTAGCTCCCCTTTTCACTTCGCCCTGGTACGCTGGGCAGAATTGTCCTGACAAGAAATCATGTAGTGAAACCATAACCCCTAAGGGGATTGTGTTTTAAGGCATTAAAGAGGTGATTAAGTTTTAATGAGGCAATAAAGTGAGGCCCTAATCTAATATGACTCCTCTTCCTATAAGCAGCGCATGAGGCTGCAGGGATGTGTGCTCAGTGGGGATGACTGTGTGACGACACGCTTGTCCCTGTCGACATCTGTCCGTAGGTCTTTCTTCTGGGAGGCTGTGCATGCACTGTGGAACATCAGCAGCCCTGTGGCCCCGGTCCTCACTATCTGAGAGTACTGAAGCCAATGTCAGGGAAAAAAGAAAGCAGAAAATTCACCCCCCTTTAGAAGACACTTGGAGGTCATTCCCTGATCATGTGGCTTTAGGACACACAGTCATCATGACCTTTTGGAGAGCACCCCTCTAGAACAAGATGCCCTGGTTCTTTGGCACTAGAACCATAGTTCAGACCATTGTGTTGTTTTTTCAGTGACAATAGAGAATACCTAAATAGCAAATATGATTAAATGAAAGGATTCTAGCTCTATGTAATTATACCACAGCGAATGCAAAGAAGCCTGAGATAAAAGAACATGGGTAAGTCACTGGGGCTTTGGACTGGCAGAGGACTGATAAAGCTGGCATCCTGTGGAACAAGGGGGTAAAGATGCCCTTTGTGCAGAAACCCCACTGACTACAGACTCATCCTTCCTCAGGATGATGCCTTGTGTAGGTCACTCCAAATCCATTTAGAGTCTTTCTTTCAATGCCTTTTCAAAATTTTCAGTGTGTGTCTACTGAGAGAGACTTGGGCCAAGGAGCATAACCTAAGAGAAGAGAGGGTGGAGGCTTTGGAGGTAGTTAGCTCTAAAGTGAGAAACACATTGTAGGGGCACTATCTAAAACATCTAGAACAATGTCCTGAACCTATATTCTTAAGTGTGGCTATAGCCTCAGACTCATGTGAGTGGAAATCATTCATGGCGCCAGTTCTCTCTAAGCAGTCACCCCAGGGGATTGTCGGACATTCCAAGCAGCTAATTGATCCAGCTACAAGTAATTTGGGATTGCCATCTACACTGTGCTGCACCAGAGGCCTTTATATGAACATCTGTCTCTGCATGCTGCTGGGATCCTGAAAGTATGCTCACTAGTGACTGTCCCATCCCCAGAGCTCAGAGCCTGCACCTTGAGGAACATTTGTCAGCTGGTAGTTCCTTAATGAATGCCCTTGGAAAGAAAAGAAAATTGATTATTAGGGAGATTATGGATACATGAAGATACGTCTGCAGTTCAGATTTTAAAAACATGCTCCTGACATGAAGGGTCTTCCTTCTCTCCCTCCAGGAGCATATTCGCCTTAGTAAGCACTGGAAAAGCCTCATTCCCCGCAGCTGTTGGCCCGTTGGCTCATGACCATTCAGATGCCCCACTGGGCATTTGTACCTGAGTTTTGTGACTGGTGCTACTCCCCAAATGACCTCACTGCCCTCTGTCTTCTGTTCAGGAGTCCTGGTCAAAGCAGTTAGGGTTTATTCTCTACCACCTTCTGCCCTCCCAGAGGTAAAATAACTGAGTTATATACCCATCCCTCACTCAAAAGTAATGAAGACTTTGAATAAAGAAACTTGTTCGTTCCTTCATGCTATCACAGTTTGGAAAAACAAAATAGAGTGTGTCCTCTATCTTGCTGCAAGGTCAACCTGGAAAATAGTTACAGTCCAGTTCCACTGAGACAAGGAGAAAGACTGCTTCAGTCTTCAGTCTTTCCAAGAAGCCGTCCAACCAGTTTAGTATATAATAGGTGAGACCAAACTCCTCAATCCAAGGACAACAAGCTGAGGCAGGTGCCGCCTTAGATATTTTCCCCTGATTCTAGGTACTTTGCTGTACTTTAAAGAAAGTGTTTTCTATATATTACAGAAGGCTATTCTGATTGAAACTGCCAATGCCAGCCTCCGTATGTTCATCAAAATGTATCTTTTCCCTGAAAATTCTGCCTTCCATAGATCCAATAACACCACTTGCCTTTCCTTCGGAAAAGAAAAGCATGGTAGTAAGAAATAGAAAGGGTATCTTAGTACAAAGATTTAAGAAAGAAATTAAAATTGTGTATTGTAACTTTATCAAAATCTAATATTCTAACTTTTTAAATCTAACTTTCTAAGTACATCAGTCTGTTCTAGGTTCTATCCCACTAACTGCTGAAAATTAAGGAGGACAAGTTCATTACTTCATAGTTCATGAACTTGCAAGTTCAAGAACCACTTGTCTAAAGGTTTGGGTCTTTCTGAAGACTACAAGAAAGTGTCCATTCTTCACGTCTACCTGTTTTTGTGGAGATACATTATTTATGTTTTAATAAAGATTTCCAAAAGTATCAGAAAGCAAAGCCAGCCAGACTAGTTAAATGCAGAAACTAGGCAGTGGTAGCACACACCTTTAATTCCGGAACTCAGGAGGATGTGAGTAACAGAGCTCACCCCTTTGATCCAGCACTTGGGATCACACACCCTTAATCCCAGCATTAGGGAGGTAGAGACAGGAGGATGTGGCTGGGTAGAGAGAGGAATACAAGGAGGAGGAGACAGAGTCTTTTGCCTCTGAGGATTCAGGAGACAGGATTGCAATTTCAGCTGGGTAGAAGTAAGACCTATTGGCTTGGCTGCTTTGCTTATCTGACCCTCAGCTTGTACCCCAATATCTGTCTGTGGGACTTCTTATTTTTCGTATTACCTGCTTTGGTGGTTCCGTGGCCATCTTTAGCATTGGTTGACTTGGGAAAGTGCCACCTTATGTCTACCCTTACATCCTTGCACGGGGCTTACTCAGTATGAGTTCCTATATCCCAACCCCCCTTTAAATTTGTTACTATATTAGTTAAGCTTATGTGTTTGCTCGTCTGTTTATCTTATTATGTCCATGAGTCATGGTGCACATGTGTAAGTCCCAGACAACTCGATGCAGTTGTTCTGTCCGTCCACCACGTGGGCCTACGTATCCAGCTCTGGTTGAAAGGTTGAGCCATGTCACTGCCCAAGGCTTGCCTTTTCATTGGGATCCTAACCATCTTGCTTTATGTCCTGTCTTTAACTCTTCCTTTAATTTGATTATCTTTCCAAATACCCTATCTCCAAATATGGCTATCTAATAGATACTGGGAAATGAACTTCAATACATATTTTTTGGAGGGAGGATATTAACCTAAAGTAACAAATTAAATTCACATTAGATTAGGAGTTCAGTCATACACTCAAGATAATAAAGTGGTAAATAACAAAACCATTACACAGAAGCACTCTTACTCACTCCAGAGTTCTTCCCTGTAAACCCCAGTGTTCTGTGCTAAATTGGAGATGATGCCTCTTTCCAGGGTGCTTAGCAAATTTCTGATGAATTTTCACTGTGTTGATGATATTTAACGAGCTTCTTATACCTTCTGGGCAGTAAGATGCTGGTTTCCAGAAACCTGGATGCACAAAGTGGTTTTTCTCACTGAATTTCCAAGTAAGAGAATTATTCTGCAAGAGACAAGATTGAACTTCATTGTGTTCAGACCGTCATAAGTTTACTATATCCACTGGTGCAGCGTGCCCACCTGGGTGGAGCATCCACTGACTCCCACACATGCCCCTGGTGCAGCGTGCCCACCTGGGTGGAGCATCCACTGACTCCCACACCTGCCCCTGGTGCAGCGTGCCCACCTGGGTGGCTGCTGCATGGGGAGGTGGTGCCTGCACAGTTTCCCACTGTTGGCTCAGTTATCCTTCTGCTCAGCACATCTGCTATAGGAGGTCAGACCTCGGTATTTATTGTTACTATGCATGAAACAAATCGTTTGCTGTGATGTTGTTCATAAAACACAGATGTATATTCTAAAACTAACATGGGTAGGTAGGCAAGCTTTATTGTTAGGATAATTTTCTTACTCTTCCTTCTCTTCCTCCTCCTTCCCCCTCCTCCTCCTTTCCTTACTTCTGTTTGTTTCCTCCTCTTCTCCCTCCCCTCTTTCTTCTTTCCCTCTCCATCCACACAGTTTGCT